TATCGATTGCATGTAATATTCTAATTTCCTACGATTGTGGATTTGGGGCTTTCATGAGCTGTAAGCCATAATCATCACAAAGCTCAGTGCCATTGTGGTCATCTTGCCCTTTTAATATGATCACCTCTGCTGATGTGGGAAGGGCACTTTTCTGCATCTGCAGTTCATTAAATGGAGGTTTGTTTTATCAAGATTTTACAGTATGTCATGTCCATTTTACAGAGAAATCATTAGATAACAAAATAGGAGATACCACAGAGAAGAGTAAGTGGTAATTCTTGCTTTTAGTTTTCAGATGAATTATGATTGTTGCATAAGAAATCTTGTATTTGGAAGCATCCTTATATTATTGTGCATAGTTGTTTACTTATGTGTATCTCCTCCCACATTTGTTATTATCCTTAAAAAAAAACTACATGGTTGCAATCAGTCTTGTTAAACAATAACATTGTAAAAACTACAGAAACATTGTAGTGATTCATCAAAAAGTGTAGTGATCTCATTCTTAAAAATTCCAGTTTGGCTGAAAATGTTTGGGTCTATTAACATCTTAAATAACAAAGTAGTGCAACAGTACATTTCAGCCCTCCAGTTGATTTTAGTAGGATTTTTCCGATCTCAAGGAGATCAGTGTGTTAAAAACAATGAGTAGAGAAAGAATAAAAAGAGAAAGAATAATAATTTGGTTTACAATGCAGGATATGGCTCTGATTTTCAGAGGAATCATTCCAGGCATGAACTCATTACAGAAACATAGAAATCCAGGACAGCTAATTCCCTCTTCCCAAAAGAAGCTCAAACTTGTCTAAACATCAACCAGTTAATGTTCTGACCTAGGCTTCCCAAGAACATGAAGCAAACTCCTTATCGTGACAAAAACCCCTTTCACTAATTTACTGTGAATTTGCTCATGCACATCCAGCAGTCTTTCAGGGAAGGATTTACAGTCACAGACCTTATCTGGCTTGGAGAGGCGCCAGGCCAATAGCTGCAAAACTTGGCAAGGAGTCTCGGAGAGTCACGAACCAATTAAGTGAACTAATTGTGTCCTGCAAACTTCACTCCACTTTCCACCTCTTTTATTTCTTCTGGGAGGGGCCATTCATTGTCCACCTGTGGCCTTACACCAAAGTCGACTCCTGTTCTTTAGCTGTTCCTGTTGTCTGGCAACTCTGCGCAGAGGCACACTGGGAACAGGCTCCAGCTGTCCATCTGCCTCATTGAAGTCTGACGCCGAAGGCGGCTGATAACACATACGGCTCTGGCCCCTTCTCTGCCTCCGACACAGAGCCCTTATCAGAGGCTTCCCCAGATTCCAGGACTAGCCCATATTCCTTCCCAACCTCCTCACTGTCCGAATCTGCTGCCAGTTCTGCTGGCTGCTGGTGGGTCTCAACAATTAAGATGAAAGTCAAATTAACACAAAGTGTGACAACAGCAGATTAATATATTGAAAATAAGATTTGCCCTAATCATGTAGATAGCCAGGATCTGACTTAACCTAGCAGCAGTGATGTACAACTGCAGCAGTATGTAGACTTTGCTTGCATTTAGGATAAGAAAAGTATGAACTGTTAAAAACAAAACAATGTTATGCATTTGGTGTAATCTCCGTAGGGGAAAAGCTAGGGAGAGATTAATCTGATCAGCTGCTCCTTGGGATGAGCTGTTCCTTTAATGAATCTAATCTAATCTTATGTAACATTTAAACGGGTTTTTGACCACAATATTGAAGGAACCTAGATTTGTTTGGAACTATAGTGGGCTTTAAAATAAACAGGGAACCACAGTACATGTTAAGAATATGACTTTTAAAAATCTTAGTTGAATTTTAAGATGGAGAAAAAGCGGAAATACCTGGGGTTTTACATTGACGAACACAGATTCTAAATTGTTTCAAAATAACTTTGTGCCTCTTTAAAATGATACTAAAAAGGCTTATTAAAAGGACACAAATTGTAACTATCTTTATTGGGTTGAATCTTTGTAATTTAGATGAATGTTTTACTAAATATGCTTTTTCTGTTTCACACTCTACCAATATTTATAACTGATAACTGTTAAAAAATACTGACATTAAGATATAATTCAAAGGTATTGACGTTAAAAATGAAAAATAACATACATGTTCTCAGATTCTTCAGATCACTCCCTGGTTTACCTGGGTGCAACTCTGTTAAGTATAGGAGTAAATACAATGGTCCGAAGATTGTTAGAGATATGTCCAGATAATTGGTACAAGATGAAAACTATACTTCTGTAGCCATTTTTTTTCTTATGGACAAGAATTAGATATGAATTATTGCAAGATGCTAAGGAAAAAGGATGTTTGGGTTTACACAATTTGAAATTGTACTTTTATGCTTGCTGTTTGTTCTGGCTAAGTGGCTGACTCTGCAGAAGAAGAGGTTTCTTGAGCTGCAGTGTCATGAATGAAGATTTGGATGGCACACCTATTTATACAATGATAAGGTTAAAGTAAATGTTGATTTCAACAATCACTGTTAGACATGCCATCCTAAGTGTTAGGAATAAATGTAAAATAAGAGGTTTGTAAAGAGGCATGCATAAGTGCACCAGCGTGCCCACCGCCCGTCTTATATGTACTTATACCTGCTTATACGTACCGTATATGTTTATATGTTATATTCATACATATACTTGTTTTCTCATACATGCTTGACAAATCAAATAAAATTAAAAAATAAATAAATAAGGTTCTTTGTGAAGATGCTCCTTTGGATAGCCCCCAAGCAGCTTTTTAAAAGAAAAGAAATGGTGGTAAAATCAGACTGGTAGACTTGTGGTCAAATAATTTTGTTTTAATTATGATGACGGTATCCTCATATTTAAAGAGGTGTTGGAATTAGAAGGACATGTTTATATTGGTTTGCATATTTACAATTGAAAGATTTACAATTTAAATTAGATGTAAAAAGTTATATTTGATTTTGTAAAAAATGAATTGGAAATTCTATTGTCTGGTAATGATGGGACCTATTATTGCAAAGGTTTATAAATTGCTATTCAAATTGAACTTGGAGATTGAGTATGTAAAGCATTGTATGGTTCAGTGGACAAAGAAATTTGGATATAATGCTTGAACAATGGGAAAATATGCGGATGAAAGATTTAAAATTTACATTAAATTATAATTTCAAAGAAGAAAAGTACCAATTGTTAAAGAGAAAACAATGCCATGCAGTTGGTTGAATCTTCCTAGAGCAAAGTTGATTGAAAGATTAATCAGATTAGCTGCTTCTTGGATCAGCTGTTTGTGTTCATGAATGTTGTGTTATATAACATTTAAACAGGTTTCAGTCTTACCTTTCCTTTCCTACCATGTTAGTTATTTTTTCCCTTCATTTCCACTCTTATTTAACCCTTTTTCTTTTCTATCCTTTCCTATCTTTCCCAATGCTATTACTCCTTTATGTCATGTCATTTTATCTCCTCCTATCTCATCTCTCCTCTCCTTCCTTCCTTCCCTCCCTCCCTTCTTTCCTTACAATGTGCATTGTGTGCGTATGTGCTTGTATTGTTTTGTATATGTAATAAAGGGAATGATTCGGGGTTCAATTATTTTTAAAATGAGGTAAACAAGCAATTCCAATAAATTATTAATACAATTATGTTTCTGTGCCTTGGCTTCTCTTTTTAGGGCAAAGTTCCTGGCAGAGGGAGAGAGAGAGGGAGGGAGGGAGGGAGGAAGAGAGGGAGGGAAGGAGGGAGAAGAGGAAGAAATGGCATTAAAAAAGTATAAAGGGTAACTGTTTGTTACACAGTCCATCCTGATTTTACTAGACTGAGCCAGTATATAGGAAACAATTCAATTTTGATTGTTTGCCAAAATACAGTAGCTCTGTCCTCTAGTTGTACACTATATATCCACTTAATTGTATTCCACAACAGTGAGACAAAATAGGGTGTATTGACAATAGTCCTTCAAAATAAACTATTTTGAGAGGATTTCATCTTCATAGAGTTATATGACCAATTGGGCACGTTTTTCAAATTTTTAAAACTGTTGGTTTAAAATAATGGTATAAAAAACTCTTGACACTCAAGAGAGTAGGAATACTGAAATACAGGAAGAATACTGTGGGTACACATAAACACAAAGTTATATTTAGCAAGGTAGAAAGTAACTCTTTCCAAGCAGTCTCTTCATCTCCAAACTATTCATAGGCAACAGTCTGAAGAATCTCCAATGGCAGATTCAGTGATAAACATGGAGCTCATTTTTTTCCTTTTCTACCTGGTAAAACAAAATCAAACTATTGAAAATTTATCTGGAATCATCTATCACACAGGTGTCAAACTTGTGGTGTGATATTGCCAACATGTGATGTTTTGCGATGTTTTTTTCTCTATCACCTCTTTGAATGACCAAAAGAAAAAGAAAACAAACCTCCAAACCTTCTGTGATATGAGCTCCTTAGGTAACCTAATTTGTAGGGTTGGTTTGAGATAAGGAAAAATGATGTGATCAAAGGACTCAGGACTACAAACACAGAAAAGTTGCAAAGAGAGCAATAGAAATGGGGGCAATTTTAGGAATTAAGACTTCCTGTATTTGCTATAACCTATTATTTAAAGTTTCATGAAGCCATGATACATTCATTCAGCTCCATATCCTTTTGGTTTTGGACAATTTGCATTCAATGATGATTCCCACGTGGGCATGTGGGAATCTCTCCGTTCATATTACAGGGTAGTCATTATATGAAGTGGGTCCCAATGTTTCCCATGTGCCAACTGATGCAGGGATGGCAGACAGTATCGTATTGTTCAATTTTTCCCTCATGCCCCTTTCATGTACCATGCAGAGCTAGACAACAAATCAAAACTAAAATGAATTAAACGACTGGGTCTTATTCATTTCATTAAAAAAAAACCAGGAGTTTTAGGGAATTCCAAAGAGTATCTTATCTCCTTTCAACTGACTGTCTGTACTGGTCCCCCCATCCCCCTATTATTCCTGCTACTGTGAATCTTGCTCATTTACCTATCCTTGTTATGTTACTTATTCCTAACGCAATGACACTAGCCAGCTAGTATTTTTCCTTGTTAGCACACTATGCTTCACTGACAACATGTGAGTTTAATGTTCTAGTCCCTCTGCCCAATCATGATTGACTATTCTATTTTTAGTTTAAAAACAGTAGCGTAGATGTACAAAAATAAAGATAGGCTATTATGATTTATAGGATGTCCCTCATTCTAATAAATGCAACCCAATAACTGCATTATTATTTTTCCATAACATTCCCAGAATAACTAAACCTATCAGAATATCAAACATTAAATCCACTACCATATCAGTCAATTTATCAAATCAGGTGGGAAGTGGCATAAGTAAGTCATTAGTCATTGCATTCCTGTAGGCTCAAATCTTTGCACAGATCTGTGCTCCTATACCGGATGCCATCCATCCTTGCCATGAGTAAGCAGTTAGGAACAGTACGGTACAATCCTAAACAAGTGTGCTTGGAAATAATTAGTGTTCCGGGCAAATCTCATAAGGTTATCTTGCAACTTCTCCCTGCAGCAGCCCCTAAAATGCATTCTTTTGACAGTAAAAACTCAGCGAGGAAAACACGCATTACACAATTCCCGACTGCTCTTACACAATCTCTCCCCTAGAAAATCGGCTACCGAGAAAATTGCCGCCGAGCTTAGGGATCAGACCCGGGCAAATACCCGTCCGATGCGGCGCGAGGCTTGGAGCCACGTTGCTGAAATCCGAATTTAGTATCCCTCTCCCCCCCCCCCCGAGAATCCAATGCCTCCCCGCTTTGCTCTCCGTATTTTGAAAGGGCATTTTGGAAACTGCAACGGGAAGATGGGTTCCCCGACTGGTAGTTAACGCAAAAGCAGCAGCCCTGCAAAGGGGAGGGGGATGGGGTGTCAGATGGCGCTCCACAGCAGCGCCTGCCGGAGCTTCCAGGCAAGGAAGCCGGCTACCGGGCGCACACCGCGCCGACAGCCGCCTCAGCCTCTGGCGGGCGAGCGAGCCGGAGGGACCCCCAGGAGGTTTAGCGTGCGGCAGCCCGGGCGACGTTCCTCGCCCCGCCCCCGCGAGGCGGGGCGGGGCGGCTCGCGATTGGCCAGGGGGTGGGCGCTCGCCCTCTGCCCCCTGACCCTGCGCGGCGGCGGCGGCGGCGGGCGGGCGGCGGTGGTGATAGAGGCAGCGGCTGGCGCCCGTTTCCTGCTGGCCTGGCGGCGGCTGGTGCCACTACTCAGCGTTGGTCGGGCGGGAGAATAATGCGGCGCAGATCTCGGCTGCTGCTCTGCTTCGCTTTCCTCTGGGTGCTGGGGATCGCCTACTACATGTACTCTGGGGGAAGCGCCGCGCTGGCCGGAGGCGGCAGGAAGGTAAGGGGAAAAAGGGAGCGGAGCCGCCGCACGCTCAGCTACCAGGGTGCCGTCGGGGTGGCTTTCGGCTTGGGCAGGATGGGCGGGTGGACTGCTTGTGGCGGAGTGAGGGAGGTCTTCTCCAGCCGGCGTTTCCTCCTGATCCTCTCCGGACTCACCGGAGGCTCCAAACTCCGCTCTCCGGCGTGGGGTGTGTTTTATGTGGGTGGGTGGGTGTGTTTGTGCGGGGAGGACTAGTTTCTCACCCAGACGAGTCGCGGGGGGAGGAAAAGGGCTTCCTCTCCGGCTCGCCCGCCGTCCCCTCCCGTTTCTCCCATTCCTGGCCGCTTTCTCCAATTGAAAAGTGGCGTCCGCCAGCCTGCCTGCGACTTTCCCTTCCAGTCTCTTCCCCGCCGACCCTGCTGGTCTGGGCAGGGAGGAAAAACCTGTCCAAGCTAGGCGGCGACCCTTCGGGGAAGGGTGAGTCGCGTCCATCATCCCCGGCAACATGGCTGCGGATGATGGGCGTGGACGGTCCAGCGCATCCGAAGGAAAAGTGGCGGCGGGGGGAGCAAAGCTGCCATACGGCGGGGGGGGGGTGGCGTGTGTGTGTGTGTATGTATGTGGCTGGGGGAAAAGCCCAAGGCTTGCGGAGCTTTCCAGCGGAGGGAAAAGCTCTGCCTTTCATCCTTCCGAGAAGGGAAATCGAAGCTCTCCACTCTCTCTCGCCTCGGTGCAGTGCGGGTGTGCGCGATTCCATCTACGTTACGTTTCCGTTTTCCTCCTCCTCCTCCTCTCTCTCCCTTGGATAAGGGGAGGTGAGGCGGCTGCTTTTCCTCGCCTTCCACGACGGGGGTGGGGGATGGAGCCAAAGAATTCCCTTTGGGACAGAGGGAAGAGTGGGGTTACTAGTCTTTCTCGCCTCCTTCTGGCTCTCTTTCAGACGGGGTGGGGAGGATCCGCTTTCCCCCCCTCGAGTCCCTTCCCAGGAGGATTTCTTTCTTTTTTGAAAAAAAGAAAAAAGCAGATGGTTCCTTTCTGGACTTCAATCTGGTTTCTAACTCGTCATTAGTCGGGGCCGCGTCCGCGTCCAAACCAACTGGAGCGAGCCACGTCGCGGATTGCGGGAAAATGAGCGTGGGAGAGAGGTGATTAGGGTAATGTGAAAACTGGCAACCCTCTCTACGCTCATTGGACTGGAGCAAAGGTCTTCAAACTTGGCAACTTTAAGACTTTTGGACTTCAACTCTCAGAATTATCCAGCCAGCTCTGCCAGAGAATTCTGGGATTTGAAGTTCACAAGTCTTAAAGTTGCCAAGTTTGGGGACCACTGGACTGGTGGAGCCCTTAATGGGATGCCTTGCTAGTCGTCGAGGCAGTTCCTCTTGGAACTTGAATGTATCATTGGACCCTTTGAGTCACCTTTGCTCACCTTTATTTCTCTCACTGATTTAGGTTTCTTTTTTTTTAAGTGCAATTAACTGGGTAAAGTAACTACTGAGGAAGACCTGAGGGATGTTTTATCCATTTATTTCTGACTTTCCATTGCCAACCATTTCCATTTCTCTGCGGTTGACTAGTCTTGTTGGGAAGGAGTTACAATGTCAAGACTGACATTAAGTTGATGTTACATTGAAGGCATGGAAACCTAAGATACTTTTCGTTTGCTGAAATGTCTTTGGAATGCCACCCCCACTTCCCTGTTCACCTACGTTTAAAAAGAAAAAAAAACTCTGGGAGAAGAAATCTTATGTTGACATTTCCCAATAATAAAGAACACTTTCTTCTTTCCATTACAAATTTCCCTCAATAGTTCCTAATGCAGCTGTTTGAAGTAGTATGAATATGTGCTCATGGAAGGAGCTGCTCATTACATATGGTACACATGCACATGGAAGCATACATGTATGCAACTACCAATCATTCTTTTTTAATGGGTTTACAATGACAATTCAGTGAACAGGTAATAATACATTTGGCACTATTCCTATTCAGAGGTAATGTTAGAATACAGTGTGTTCAATTTGATCCTTCAGCTAATTGTGTGTGAGGAACATTGATAGTTACATTATTTGGAGAATCAAGATCTTCAGCCCAAATGACAATTCATTGTAAATTAATTTCCCAAATTAAACCTTGTTAATTAACCAATTAACAAATAGTTCATTTCCTTGTGCCCCCCAAAAACTGTTGCAAACATTAGTGTTATGATATAGCAAAGACGACGGTCAGATTTGTTTTTATGTTTAGCATAAATATAATAGCAGGTCATTTTACAGGCAAAGGAAATGGGGACTGTACTAGGAAACACTCACAAAACCGACTAGCTTTAAGCTTAAAGAACTAAAATGGAAAAAAAGTCCTAAACTTCAGTAATGACCAATAGTATTGAAGGAATAGGACCACAAATGGGGGAGATTGACAATTATATATGGATGGGTGGTTTAGGTTTCCATTTTCCGTCAATGAAGCATAATATTTAATCCCAACTTTTAGAATGGTTTAGTAATTCTAAGCATGGGAAGAAGATTGTAAGTGTAATGGCTTTTGAAATTGTTCTAAAAGGCTCATTTAGCATGGAATGCCAAGCCTTGAAAGAAAACATGACACATTGTATGTGTTTTGTGAATAAAAATTCTGCTGTTAGAACATTTAGTATGTTCACAGAATGTATGCTATTTAATTACTCATAAAAAGATCATTACAAGATTGAAAGATACATTTTAATAGATTGTGGTTTGAGTTTACAAAGTGTAACAGTAGATGAACTTTCAGTGAGTTTGCAGGGGTGTTTTTATGTGCAGAAAATATTCTTGAGTGTACTTTCTGCTAGTTTCAGCCAGTTTCTTTTATTATTGCTCTCTTGAACTGTTCTGCTCTGCTCTTGTCTCAAATTCGTTAGCTTTAATACTGTGATGTGCAATTAAATTTTTTTTGTTTAAAGGTCAGACTATCCAGGGGCATATACTTGAAGGCAAGGAGTTGCTTTGTAGTGCCCAGGAGTGTGAACTTAGCACATATGTGCAACTCTGTAAACCAGCTTTGCCTTCAGCAGTTGCTGCAAAATCGTGGGAAAATAGTCTTAGTTTAAGGAATTGCAGACAGGTACCACAGCGGAATCCATATGGTCTTTGAAATACCCTTTTGTCTTCAAAAGCAGATCACAGCACGACTCTTAAAGTGTATAGGAATTACAGCAAAAGTGAAGTAGCAACCTACTAGATTATATTTACAGCCATCTGTACAAAACTAAATTTATGGAATATTTATTACATTTAAGTTGTCTTTGATCTCCAGGAAAAATTGTGAGCTTGGGTTTCTCCCCCATTTTATTCTCATAGTAACTTAGGCTTTGAGATAATGTGTAAACCATTAAGCTTTGTGCATCTTTCTTTGAGGGCTCTCATTCCAGCACTAACTGTTACATTGTACTAATTTTCAGGTAAGTAGGCAGTACTACTAAGCTTTACAAAGTCAAGTTTTCTCTTTCATTGCTATTTAGAATTAATTGGACCTGTTTTGGGAAGATAGCTTTCATTCATGCAGGGAAAACATCTCAGGTTAATTTACTAATTTCAGCCCTTTAGTGCAAATTGTTTCTGAATTTCTACATGCCATCAATTAACATTTTTGGGGAAATATAAATAACACATTTTTGTTCTATCTGAAGTATTTACATAAATTAGATTGTTTTGGTCATTGGATATCAAATAGAAGAAAGCAATCTGGATTCTTAACATTGTTGCAGAATGAAGAAGCTGGGAAAAATGAATTTTGACTTAGATTTATAGAAATATGTATGTTGTAGCCCCAAATTCTATAGTTCCAGTTTATTTGGCAGGGTGTTTTCACTGGCTTTCTACTTTGCCAACATCCTTTGTCCAATCCCTAAGAGAAGTTGACCAGGTCTCATTAAAAGGGAGATTTAGTATCTTAACTGCAAAAATGCCTTTGCCTCAGTCTTTTGGGAGAAGTAGAATCAGTTGTGCATGTCCTCCTCTGTCATTTTAATTCAATTAGGCACAAGAACTTAATGACATCTCTGTTAATTAATTAACACACTATTCTTCTTCTTTTAACTGATAAGCCAGTGATGATCTCTGGGACAGTCACAAAACTTTGTTAATCTGCCATTGCTATTTGAGGCAAGATTGTATTGTTTTCATATATAAAATAATTCAGACTTTATTGTTAGAGGTGTGATTTTATTATTTTAATATTCAGATTTTAGGGTGGTATATCTTTCAGAAATACAGGTAAAACTCTAAGATACAATAAATATGTAGTCTGTAGTAATTTATGGGACAACTATAGCTTTTTAAAATTGAGAGCAGTATAATAATCACACAATTCTATAAGTTTCTCAAATAATCCTTATATTTAGATTGTTGCAGACTGCGTACTTAAGGTATAAGAAAACAAAAATTTAAACAACAGAATTAAACTAATTTTTCTATATTCTTAAAATATACATCTTCACTTCATTAAGAAGTGTTGCTCCCACTCATAGAAGCATCTCCTAGGTCTGTGATGGTGAACCTATGGTGTGCGGGCATTTAAGCTGTCACCCCAGTTCAGCTCCACCATGCATGCGCACATGCCTCCCGCCAGCCAGCTGATTTTTGGGTCTCTGCCGCACATGTGCATGGGGCAGTTGGCACCCCCCCCCCCGCCAGCAGCCCATTTTTGCTCCCAGGAAGCTGCAGAGAAGCCTACTAGGCCCAAATTGGGATGTGGGGGAGGGTCACACACGTATGCGCAGGAGAGCAGGATGCGCACACGAGGGGGCACGCACACATTGTGTTATGGATGCAGGCACGCTATTACACGCACACCCTTTTGGCACGCGATGACAAAAAGGTTAGTTATCACTGTCCTAGGTAGAAGTTTATTCAGGTGAAATTATTAAAGGAAATGAGGGATCTTATCTATAAACCGCCCCTTTCCCATATTTTCTCACATTTTCCTGAGGCTTGAGGCTTTGTGAAATAAATTTTCGAAAGACACAAGAGGCACAAGAG